CCATAATTAACATGTAGGATGGCAGTCAGTTTGCAGCTATAATAAATGAAAAGAAAATCAAAAGAACAAGGATTTCTCCTACTGTTTCACTGTAGCTCAGGAGGAAAGTGTTCCAATCTTTGGAATTATTACAGAAATTTTTTCTGAAGACAAGTCAACCACAAGTAATTCTTTAGAATAAGAAGTTTTTTTGTTCTGTTTTAATTCCAAGCCCACAAATCACACTTTCGTGTGGCCCCATCCAACAGAAGTGCAATGCCCAAAAGCCTACTTGTTTGAAAAAAAAAAAAATGTTTAGAAGATTACAGTGTAGAGCGTCACAAAATCCTGGCTCAGTGACTGCCTCTCTATCCACCCAGTCGTCCTACCGGATCGTGAGCTACCCAGCCTCCTCCTCACCGTCTATGTGCCCCCCACACGCACACTACCTCTAGCTAGTCTCACGTTGGCAATCTTACGTCAAGGAGCACACTGATCAAGCAGGGAGGTTGAACTCAACAGATCTGCATGAAACATGGACTGGTAGGGAAACGGCAACTAGAAAGCCAATGGCCCTGCTAAAGAGGTCAAGCACTATCCAGCTTCAGCTGATAGAGGAAGATGAAATTCAGGGTCAGTGTTATCCAACATTCTGATTTTTCAAAAGCATCCAGCAATCTGCACTTTTATGAGAAAAATACTAATTTCTGAAATAAAGTAAGGGCCAAATTGAACATACCTGCTGGACAAATTCAATGTGTGACCTCTATTTTTAGAATCCCCATTCCATTCCATCCCTGCTACCTCAATTCAGACCTTAACATTTCTTACACAGTTTTAAGGCAGGAAGATTCTAAAGGTCTCCAGAGCATGCCTACCTCCACTACCATCTCCCCATCTACAGGCTGCCAGGGTGAGCTCCCAACATTCAAATCTGATCCTGTTTACAGGCTGTGCACGCCTGTAAAGGTCCCAGCACTCAGGAGGCTGAGGGAGAAGGATGGCCACAAGGTCAGGCCAGCCTGGACTACACAGCAAGACCCTGTCTCAAAAAAAAAAAAGCCTTCAATAGGCCCCTCCTTAGCCTTTCGCACTACAAAGTGCCATAAAACTCTGTAAGATGCTTAACATGCAGATAAGAGCAGGCGATTCAACATGAAATCTCCCGAAAAGGGTGTAGGCCAGTGATGGCGGACCTTTTAGAGCTTTCAATGATACAAACAGCCGGCTGTGTGCTCCCCGTAGGTTTGTACCACTGGCCTAGGAAGCTGCTAACCAATTTCTCCCAAGTGATTCTGACACCCACAGCCCTTGCACCACAGAAATACTGCTGTGCAGGGCAAAATCCAGGGGCTCTGCCAGGACCCCACCTCCCTCTCCAGTTTCCTGCCTTATTACCACAATTATGCCTAAACACGTCACCTAACTTCATGTGGTTCCCAGGAAACACTCTCTGGCCTCCACCTCTTTGTGCTCCGCTGCTCTCTTCTGTGACACGTTCTCTCCCTCTTCACCTGGTGCCACCCAGCCTCTGTCTTCCCACACAGAGCTCCACCTTCACCTCCATCCTCTAGGAAGCCTTGCTCAGCTCTAAGCCCTGCCCTACTTGATTCCCTGGAAGCTGCCTCCACTCCCCAAGGCACCCGCCACTTACTAACTGCACTTACTATTTATAACTTTATTTGCATGTCCACATGCCCCAACTGGGTTCTTTGAAGTGAGGAATTTCAGCCTAGCTTAACTCTGCAGTACCAATGCTGTACCTGACAGAGAGGCCCCTCATAAATGCTTGCCTAATAAACAGTCACACTGTATGAACCAGTAAGATGGAAGGCCAGACTGGACTCTGGTTCTTTAGCACCGCCAGCAAGATGCAGACAGCCTCTCTTTACAATCTCTTAATGTAATACTAACAAAGTCACAATCATCAAGATTCCTGTAATCAGACTGCCATTGACAGCCAAGTTAATTAACTACCAAAATAGCAGAAACCAATTCATCCTGACATCATATTCTAATACTTTAGTTTATTAGTACATATGTGTAGCACATAATGTTTACAGCCCTTGCGGGAAGTTGATACATGTACGTAACACATCTTAATTCCTTTTTTCATCCCTTATCCCTTCCCTTCCTCCTCCCTCCCTTTATCTCCTGACCCATTCCTGTCTAAGAACAACCTACTTTCCATTACCTATCTTTTATTTTGTTCTTTATTCTTGAAAACCAAGCCAACAACAGTATTTCACACAGCATTGCCTCTCTGAAGCAAAATGATACAATTTGAAACTGCTGCTACACTATCAAATAAAACCATGCTTTCCCTAGGTGGGATTAGGCAACCCACAACAACAGTTTTGCCCTTAAGTGGGAAAAATCCCTCAACTACAAAACCCAGACAAAAAGATAGGTAAAGGGGAAAGATGACAGCCCTCATAAGGGTGAAATCCCTCAACATTACTGTCTGAAGTTACATGGTTAAGCAACAGAATAATTGCAGTAGTAGTCAACTTTTTCCCATTCAAAATGCGAAAGTATCCTCCTAACATCCTTTCACCAAACTTCCAAAATGGTTTATATTCTTTTCCATTTTCATTCCTTCAACGTTCCCTGTGTACCTACTATTTGTGGTACTGTGCTAGACCTTGGTCACATTGAAAAAGGCAGCTATTGGCCCTGCCTTACTAGAGCTCATGTCCTAACAAAGTAACCAAAGCAGCCATTCAGTGAATTATTAAAAGAGCTATTTAATAGAATGGTGTTAGGTACCACAACAGAGAATACCAGTGTTAAGAGAGTATGTAACATAGAATCTATCCCATGCTTTCTTCTGTCCTGAAAACCAACTTTCTGCAGCTCTTTACTACAGAAACCTAATTACATCTCTATGTGTGCTCCCCTTTCGGCAGCTATTCTGTGAAACTGCCAGGTTTCCAACTGTAGCTCTCAGATGTACCTCTGGGGAAGATAAAGAAATTAAACTGGTTCAAAAGTAATTTTTCCACCAGCTGCTTTTATAGTATCCATTTTTCTCTGCACCTCTTTGCTCTATTATGAAGGGTCACACCAGGAAATAAAAATTTCTTTTGAGTATTTTGACTCTACCCGTTTTTGAGGGGAAAAGGTTGTTTTAATTCAATAAGCTTATAAAAACTCTTACTATCTCTGCAGGTGACACAATGGAAATGCAAGGACAGAAAAATCTGTGTGTAATTCACATTCCAGCAAAACTGACCACACAGATTTTCCCTTTGCACTCCTGGGTTCATATTTTTAATATGAATGCAGTAGTGAGTAAAGAACCCTCTACTATAAGAGGGTTATACTATGTTTAGGTTATAAATTTCTGTTCCTTTTTTCTCTCCCAAAGAAAACCTCACTGTAACTAAAAATAACATCAACTATATTGGAGTGAACTGAACACCTGACACTCGCTAAACTGACCTCTGTTTTCTGGGATGATAGGAAATCTGTCAGACACAAGAACTGAGATTAGAGAAGCAGGAAAGAGATAGAGACAGAAAAATCCACATTTACATTTCTGGCATATCAGGACACCTAGCTAGCTGAAAATACCAATCTAGAGAAGACTGCTTAGAAGAAAATGGAGAGACCCTATTAGACGCTGTTGCAAATAAACAACTATTCTATTAGCACTTACTCTGAAAGTCAGGTCCTAGTAAAGCAGAAAATATTTCACATGTCAATATTTACAGTGCTGAGCAGATAAGAAAAAGGCGATAGAACTTAGGCAAAACAAGAGGAATCTGGGTCCCTTCTACAATCAAAGTTGTAGAGTCCTGGCCTGAGTTCCCAACAAGGCTCTGGAACCTCAACTTTGCTTGAAAGCAGAGGAACATTCTAAGGCCCCTTATTGCTTTTTCTATTCCAGTTAAACCAAATCCTTTATGATTCATCCAGTTACTCATTCATTCCAACAAATATGTACCGGATGTCTAGTACTTACAGGAGCGCAGTGCTCAAGCCTTAATGGTCCATTAGGCAAGTCTCATGGTATGGGCATTACATTTAATGGAAAGACACAGTGAGAATAATACCATGAATGAACAGAGCACTCTTGAGGAGAAAGGGGATACTGTGCTTAGGGATGGCTTCTCTGAGAAGTTTAAGCCAAGATGTGAAGATCCACAGGGAACAAAGATGAAAGCCTGAAATCTCTACATCAGGCCTGTGCGGCTGAATGGTTAGAGAGGTCACTTACTGATAAGCGAACAGTGCAGGGAAATTAGAAGGTGAAGCAGAGACTTAACAAGCAGCGTGTACTGGGGCCTCAATAGGTGCTAGGCGCTTCTCAAATCCTTATAATCACTTTGCACGGTAAAAACTCTTCCCAGTTTACCAGCATAAAAGAGAGGCTGAGCGGGGTTAAAAAAGAGAAAGTCTTGCTCAGGGCTAAATAAAGAAACGTGACTTTGGCATCAGGTTTACCTGTGCTCTTTCCATTACACAGTTCCTTCCTGCACACATTTATTTCATCTGACAGCCCCGGCGCCAAGTACTACCGCTAAGGAAGCCTCTTTTCGGGGGAAAGAAGTGGAATGCAGCCCCAGGTGAGGCCTGGATAAGTCAGTCCCCTCCACAGCCTCCTCCGCCAGACGATCAGCCCCCCTTTGAAGTTGTATGCAAGAAAGGCAGGTGGAAAGTTCATTCAAACGAAAACTATTAAAATATCACAGAAGAAGTCAACTGCATCCTTTCAGGGGGCTAAAAAGCAATCATAAACAATAACAGGTAAAAAGAGAGAAGGGAATGCTCTCGCTCCACTATCCTCGGGAGCTCTTCCCAGGAAAAGGAAACCTCCAGGGAGCGCGCCCCCGGGGCGGCGGCCCAGGATGCTCTCACGCTCCCCGACCCGCAGCCCCAGGGCTCGCAGGACCCCGCACAAACGCCCGCCGGAGCCACGCGGCAGGCACAAGGTGACACGGACCGCGCGCCGGCCCCTCCGCCGCCTGGGCGCGGCCGGGGCAAGAAGAGAGAGGGGCGTCCTTCGGCCGCGCTACCTTGTACTTATCAAAGCCAGCCAGCTGCTCCGGGGTCACGTATTCGTAGCCAGTCATGACGACCCGCAAACCAAGCGCCCACTCGGCAGCTGCTGTCCGCGAGGAGGCGGTGAAGCACAAGAAGCACTCGGCGAGAGCAAAGCTGGGCGAGACTAGGCAGGCAGAGGTCCAAGCCGCGCTCCACCCGCCGCGCACGCGTAGCCCAGGCCACTTCCGCCGCCTCAGCGCGCAAGCGCAACCTCGCTTTCTCCCCTCCCGCTGGGGGCGAGGCTCTGCGCGCTATCCCCGCCCTGCTGCCGTTTTGGTCCAATCGACGTGAATCAGGCAGCACTAAGTCCCGCCTCCCAACTCACCTCCTCATTTTATTTGCTGTCGTCAACATTGGTGAGCTGAGGTAAAGCAGGAGGGGAGATGAAAGGTTAGCTTCCCAGTGGGCTTTGCTCGTCTCCCGGGTGAGGGGCGGACTTCTTGGGTGTCTGTGCCTGGGTAGAGATCTGGGATATCCTGTTAGTCCCCCGAGCAGGGAGAGTGCCTGCGGCCAGATCAGGTAAGAGGGCGTAAATCCCTCGTTGCAGTGAAGCAGAGGAGCAAAGGAAGGCCTATGCAGCAGCCCTCATGGGGCTCCTGATACGATGCGCTGCAAGAAGTAGGCGCTTAGGAAATGTGGCTTTCTGTAGAGAAGGCTGAGCCACAGCCTAGGCCGATGGGAGGTCCAGTGTGCGATCCCTGAAGAAACTGGGCAGGCGAGAGAAAGGACGTTAGAGACCAGCCCCTCAGGTCAGCGTTGCTCTTGAGCCTTGGGCTACGTGCTCACGCTCCGTTCTGTTAAGCCGTTCCAAATTCAGATTGCTAATGTCTTCGCAGACCAGATCAAAGCAGTAGCCCGTCAGCCAGGACGGTTCCTTACAAGCCTGTGTAAGGAGCCCAGTGAATTGTGGAAAGAGCGCCAGATCAATAGCAAGTATGTATCTACTCATAGTAAAATGTAGTAATAGTTGCTACTTTTTATTGAGTGCTTTATATGCAGAGAACTTTACATTATCACCTACACCTTAACAACACTATGAAGTGGAAAGTATTCTCCCTACTTCAAAGAGTAGGGACTTAAAATTCAGATTACAGGGGCTGGGGATTTAGCTAAGTGGTTCCGGCGCCTGCCTTGCAAGCGCAAGGTCCCGAGTTCGATCCCTGGTACCAAAAACAAAAAGCAGATTACACGGGCTGGAAGTGTAGCTCTGTGGTGGAGTGCTTGCCTAGCAGGCTCTGGACCCTGGTTTGGATCCCCAGTCGGAGTTGAGGGATCAGTCACTTAGTTATACAGCTTGGAAATGGTCAGACCAAATGGAATTGCTGTGTGTTAAGGCCATTACATCAGAGAGGCTCAAAATCTCCCTGGGTCCCTGGGGGAAAAGGCTACAATTATTTTGCAACCTCTTACATTCATTCATCCAACAAATATTCATTGGGGAACAAGGATATCCCGAGCACACTATTATTTCACCTGCATCTTATTTCTCCTCCTAAAGTATAAGATTATTATGAGGTAAGTAATAGATACAAAGCACCTAAGTACATGGTAGATAATCTATAAACTTAAGTGTTCTTGGGCCAGGGATTTAGCTCAGTGGTTTCACCGCCTGCTGCGCAAGCGCAAATGCAAGGACCCGAGTTCGATCCCCGGTACAAAAAAAAAAAAACTTCAATGTTCTTTATCACGCTTGAGTATTTGTATCTTACACATCCTAATCTTAATTTCCTTGTGTCCCATAGCCCAGTAGCTTGCAGATTACACATGGTCAGCCTATTTTATTGAAAATGAATGACCAAAGATCTCTGATATGCTATAAAGTGCTAGTATCGAGACAGACATGAGAAATGAATGGTTTTAAGAAGAAAACTGCACCTAGGCATAGTGGCCCATATCTTGGGAGGGTAAGGCAGGCAGATCACTGAGTTCAAGACCACCCTAGGACTCGTGAGACCTTGTCAAAAAAACCCCAAAAACTGGGCCAGGGATTTTGCTCAGTGGTTCCGCCTCCTGCCACGCAAGCACAATCCATCTGAGAATTTCTGCACTGAAACACAACATAGATCCTTGTATATATTTTGGCATCTTTTATGTGCTGGCTACATGATTCCAGGCAGCTTATTTCATGTAGCCCCAGTTCCCCTTTTTGTGTGTGTGTGTGGTTTTTTTTGTTTTTTGAGACAGTCTCACTTTGTAGTTCAGGCTGGCCTTGAACTCACTTGGTAACCCAGGCTGGCCTTGAACTCCCAGAAATCCTCCTGCCTCAGCTTCCTGAACACTGGGATTACAGGCATGCACCACCACTCCTGGCCCCCAGTTCTTTTTTAAAAGGAGGGCAATAGGTTAAATCTAATCATCTCTGAAATTCAATGAAATTATATATTGTTTAACTTCTCTGAGATTAAATCAGTCCATCTGTGAAAAGAGAATAATTCTTGTCTTACCATGGCAGTTACAATTCAAAGCATGGGAAATGATAGTATTTCAACCTTGAGAAGTATAAGATACTATTTCTCCAGAATTTTATGAATTCTCACCTAGAAAGAAAAAGTTGTCAAACAAATTGGCTTTTGGAACTGAATCACTTTTCTGCCTACTCTTTTCTGAGTTTCATTCCCAGAGGCTTTTATCTCGGAGGCAGCCCAGAGCTGCCCTCGGCTGCTTTCTTTTGGCCTGGCTGTTTCCATTCCCACTGTGTACACCACACACAGTACGCATAGTTTGTTGCTTTGCTTTCCTTGTCTGCCTCCTCATGCACTGAAGTTTTTCCCCTCTGCATCTCAGTCAAGAACAGGCATTTTGCTTTCTAGAATGGTAATCATAAACAGGGTATGGTGGCGCCCATCTTTAGTCCCAGCACTCCGGAGGCTGAGGCAGGAGGATTGCCTCGAGTTTGAGGCCAGCCTGGGCTACATAGTGAGTCCAAGGCCAGCCTGAATTAGAGTGAGACCTTGTCTCCAAACACGAAAAACAAATAAATAAACATAGAATAGTAATTATAGAAAATATGAAGTAGTGCTAAGAATATTTTCATCTTTGTAATATGACCTAAAAATAAAACTTAATTCCCAGAGTTCTTTTATTTAAAGTAAGAGTGTCAAATAAATGGAGTTAGCTAGCAAATTGGAAGTTGAAGAACTAATATAGTTAAAGACTCCAGTATCTTGTTGAAGCAAAAAATAAGGTTTTCTAAGGAAGTTTGTTAAAAGGTATTGGTTTTGTTTTCATTCTAAAATTTAGAAACAGGGGATGGGGCATAACTAAGTGGTAGAACATATGTGCTTGGCATATACGAGGCCCGATGCACCAGAGAGCAATGATAATGAAATAGAAACAATACCTTCTGAGTTCTGTGGTTCTCAAAGCAGTTTAACACCACTAGATCACCTAACAACGCTGAGCCATAGGCCAAATGATTGTTCCAGTTGGACAAAATGGAACAATAGAAAGTTTTGTTTTCCCCAAAAGTCACCCAACTTGTTCATAATAAAACTTCTGCTTTTCATTGAATAATTTTTATACTGCACCATGCTTCTACAAGGTACCATGATAAGATGGTTAAGGGAAAAAAGTCATGAGCCTTGTTTTGCAGTGCTGGAAGTCAAACCCAGGACCTCACACCCTAACCAAGAGCTCTCTGGCTGAGCTATATCCCCAAACCCATTGTCAGTTTGTAATCAAGGGCTGGAGAAGGAACTAGGGAAGAGCTGAAGAGTCATTAAGTTACTTATAATTTCTTAAAAATTGAATTACCCGGCTGTAGTAAACCTTCTCTAGTAGGGTTTTGGTTGCCTGTTTTTTGCTGTATTTTACTTTTTTTTTTACCAGGAGGTAACCCTCTTGGGCAAGAATGTCTAGAAAACTGTCTAAGTGGGTCATTCTTTATCACAGAATAGGACTGTGCAACATACTGACATTCAGCTTAAACTAATGCCTGTTCTTTTCTGTATCAGTGGAGGAGGACTAGGTCTCTACTCATCTGTGACGGGTATCAGAGCCTTCTGGCCCCACTCCTGCTACTGGTGATGAACCCAAGACTGCAGCCACAGTCCTTTATCTTTTATTGTGTGACAAGCTTCCCAGGCTGAGTGCTTCAGCTTTCTGCGTTTGCTCTCAACCTTTGACCACTAACGCAGGCAATGTAAAGACTCTGAGGGATCCAGAGCCATAGTGATAATGAAGGTCAGAGTAAAATCACAAATCTACTCATGAACGTGGACCCCGCTACAACTTGCCATTCTTGTTTCAAGATAAGTGATTTATCTTACCACCACTACTGAATAAAAGCTATTACTGATAATGCTAAATAAAAGGACCATTATCTTTGAAACAGACTTCAGGCAAAGCTTTACACAGAGCAGAGTCTCATTTTCAGCATTTTTGAAGTTGTGGTAATCCAGCAGCTACATGTTATCAACAAAGAATTGCCACCTCTGCCCCACACCTCCTCCCCACTATGACAGCACTAGAATGGAAGCAGAACTCTAGTCCAGGAACAAATCGTCCAGATGAGTAGTCACACTGCCAACACCCTGGTGATGCCTTTCTCCTTATTCCTTTTTGCAAATGTTAGCCGCAACTAAGGTCAGGCATGCAGATAGAGCAACTGTAACCACTATTGTATTGTTTTGTTTCCTTCTATTTGAATATAGGAGCCTCAGTTTTTAGTTTATTTTTTATCTTCATCAACATTTGAGATCGTTGGATCAACGATCATTTAGTTTTGGTGAAAGACGGGCATTAGCAGAAAAACCTAAGTGGAGCAAGAGAATAGGGGCAATATTTCCATGATCCATTTTCCTGTAGAAATCCTGGAAGACCTCCAGGACTTGAGGTAGGAGTTGGCAAAACAGTAGCACTTGTGTCTGCTTTTGTCTAACTTGTGAACTAAAACTTAGGTGCAAAAAATAAATCCTCTTTTCCAACCCAGAACTGATTGTTCAGTATGAGTTTTGATGCATATAGGAGGAATTTACTGCCGGGTGCATGTGCATGCCTGTGACCATGGCAAGAGGAAGGAAAGTCTGAGGCCAGCCTGGATTACATTGTGAGACTGCACCTCAGAAAACAAAACAAAACCAAAAAATTATGATACCTAATACAGACTAAAATGATGGGAGGTATTTATAACCTTTAGAGTTGGTTCTGAGACAAAAGAGTTGTTAATTAGAAAGCATGGGACA